TCTTCAACAAATAAACTGCTAAGAAAAATAGATGGAGGGAAACCTAAAAAAAAAAAAATTAGAAACACTTTAAAGACAACCAATCACAATGTGGACCTCATTTAGTTGGCTCTTGACTCTAAGCAAACTGTTAAAAATGAAAAAATTAAAATATCTGAGTCAACTGGAAAATTGATTCCATATATTAACCTTATATATACACCTACCTTAAGGAATTATTTATTTTTATGTACGATATTACTGTAAGGTCCAAAAAACCCATCATACTGAAATATTTACAAATGAGATGATATATCTGGACATATTCACAACAATATAAAAGGTATAGAGTGAGTTGGCATATAGATGAAATGAGATTGAGAGTTGATAACTGTAAATACATGAGCATTCATTATACTGTTATCTACTTTTACATGTGTTAAAAATTCTTCATAATAAAGTTATTTAAAAAAAAGAGAGAATGATACAAAAGTACAAGCAACTCTGTACACAATTCAGACTCTTTCTTTATCTAGCGCGCCTGGGTGGCTCAGTCAGCGAAGTGTCTGACTTCGGCTCAGGTCATGATCTCAGGTTCATGAGTTCGAGCCCTGCGTCCAGCTCTGTGCTGACAGCTCAGAGACTGAAGCCTGCTTCAGATTGTGTCTCCCTCTCTCTCTGTCCCTCTCCTGCTCACACTGTGTCTCTCTCTCTCTCAAAAATAAATAAATGTTAAAAAAAAATTTAAAAAAAATTATCTAGAAGAGATCAGTTAACAGCTCTCACCAATGCTTAGTGTTCAATATACCAAGTATTAACGTTTATATAATTTAATTCTACCAAATTCAGTTTTGACCTTCTTAAACCAACTCCTAAAACTGAAATTCCTTTACATGATAATTTGATCAGCATTTTTCTAATAATTCCTATTATCACAGGAGTTATCCACTTTGGAAGCTTGGGATTCACAAAAATCAGCTCACTAAAACTTATGAGATGAAAGCAAATATCCACTGACAGTTAAATGAATAAATAAAATGTGGTATAATCACATAGTGGACACCAAAGCAACAAAAATAATGAACGATCACTCCATGCGAAAAATGGACACATTTCATAGATAGTTTAAAGAAATAAACCAAACACAAATTCTTATGACGTGATTTCATTCATGTGAAGTTCAAAAACCAGTCTGGGGTACACAAGAGTTCAGAACAGGGGTTACCGTCTGGGGTTAGATATTAACCGGGAGGGACATAACCAGGTGGGGGGGGGACAGTTCTAGATCTTCATCTGGGTGGTGGTAATAGGGGTGTATACATATGTAAAATTTCAGCAAGCTACACACTTGAGATTTGAGTACTTCCCTATATATAAATTATACTTCAGGGGGAAAAAAAGGGAAATTCAAAAGAAGAAGAAATACATTTGCCTAAACTACATCCCCAACAACCAAATCAGCATTAGAAAGGGAAAGACACAGAATACTTGAGAGTCTATATATCTATTTCACAGGGAAAAGTCTCCCTTCCTACCAATGCTGTCTCTCATCACGGATTTTCATCTCTTCTTGTGTAACTGCCTACTTTTACACATGAAATAGGGTTTTTTTTTTAAATATGGACATAATAGATCTAACAGTTTGCATGTAAACTTTAAAAAATTGTTTTAATGTTTATTTATTTTTAAGAGAGAGAGAGAGAGAGCAAGCAAAGTAGGAGCAGAGAGAGGGAGACACAGAATCTGAAATAGGCTCCAGGCTCTGAGCTGTCAGCACAGAGCCCGATGAGGGGCTTATATTCACGAACCCTGAGATCATGACCTGAGCCCAAGTTGGATGCTTAACTGACTGAGCCACCCAGGCGCCCCTGCACATAAATTTTTGTAATTATTTCATCTATAGCTTTTTAAGAATGACTTTTACAAGCAATAAATATTGCTTGTAAATATATAATAATTGCTTGTAAATAAATATTCTACTTACAAATTGTTAGTTTCACTAACAACTTGAATTTTTGTGGTATTTCTCATATACGGCATTCATAGTAAATGTCCTAAGTGATATCTTTGGAAGTTCAAAAGGTCTTCTACATTATGAATCCAGTAAATCAGCAATTTTAGTCACCTTCTGTTATATTTCATGGTTAGAGTCTAATTATAGAATTGATTAACTCCAACATACATAAGAGAATTTTATTCTAGAAAAAGGTTTAGTTCACCTCTTAAGCTTACAAAAGACTAATTTCTTTCCTCCTATACTTTAAAAACAACCTATTTTCAAAATATAAGTAGCAATTCAAAAAAAGAAAACTGTGTAGAAAGCTGTTTCCTTCACAAGAGAATGAGAACTAAAAGTCAGAATTTTCCCCTATAATTTAGAAATGTCTGGTAAATGTTTGGGTGGCTCAGTCAGCTAAGCATCTGGCTCTTGATTTCAGCTCAGGTCATGATCTCACAGTTTGTGGGTTGGAGCCCCACTCTGCACTCTGCACTAGCAGCTTGGAACCTGCTTTGGATTCTCTCTTTCTCTCTGTCCCTCTCCTGCTCCTGCTGTCTCTCAAAAAAATTAAAATAAAAAAAAAAGATTTGGTAAAAATCTCAGAATAGTCTTAGTTTTAAGAACTACTGAAGTTTTTGTTTGTATCCAACAGAAAAGAGCTCATGTTCATGTGCTCTTGTGTTACGATTACTAACTACTTAAAATGAAAACAGTCATCTATTTCTAAATCATATGTAAAAAATTTGTATTTAGCTTCTTTAGTGAACTACACCCTTACCCAGGTCAATAAAAAGGACATATGAAGTCAATATAAGCCATGTTCATCTCCTACCTCCCTCAGCATCCCACCTTTGCAGGCAGATAGGTTAATGAAATAAATTCAAAACTATCTCCTTCTTTAATTTCATTCCCTTAGGAAAAGCATGACCCACCACCAAATCAGTGTTAAGCTGAGGCATGTTATCCCAAAACTCAACAATGTTTAATGCCATTTTCAATTAACAGAATAAATTATTTATAGCATAAATTCTCTATGGAAAGCATATCAATGAAAATTAATAAAGATGTTTCAGCCTAGAAGCCACTAACCAGGTGTGTATATTATAACCTCATAACCTTCCCGTGGCTTCAGCGTCTTCCCCAGGAAAAGAACTGCAAACACATGACACATGTGTGGACTGCTACTCTCCTCTGAACAACCACTACTAATTGATCAGAGATGGATTCAGAAATGGCACCTGAGGTGAAACTTATCTGTCATTGCTAGGCAAATGATCTAAGCTTCTTTCCCCTTTGAACATTCTGTCTGTGACCTACTTGGAATCAAATACATTTGCAGGAACAGCTCAGACACACATAAATATGATATATACAAGCTTACTTAAGGAGTCAGAACCTCAAATATCATCTTTAAAGGCACAGTCTTTAAAAAATATATGCCACTATTCATTTCTCTATTTCAGATGTAAAACTGGGAAATAATCAAGTCTAAATGGATGAAATACTGTATCTTTCTCAATTTGCTAAACATGTAAAATAGTGTCATTTAATATGAATTACATTCCTGATACTCAGGCATTCCTGATGATGCCTAAAGAGATCCCTACAAAAAGAATTTACTGAAAAGCTTCCTGGAAAATCAACTGTTACTTACCTTAAGGCAGATGCATACACACCCAGTTTCAGATTAATATAGAACTCATAAAGGTGAGCACCCTGACAAGAGCTTAATTACATAACTCTGTCAAAGTGTTATTTCTAGCATCTTCACGTGGCTTCTGAATGTCAAACGCCATGTAAGGAAAGCCCTTTCTTCTAAATGCTCCACTCCAAATTTCCAATTCCTTCTTCTTCGTCCCTATCAAATTCCCATTCCCTCAGCCCAACTTTCAACTGTTAGAAAAACCCTGATTTAAGTAAAATTATTTTTTGCTTTTTTTCAGAGGAAAAATTCCAAAGTCAGGAAGGGGGAGGGAAATAACAATTGCCTGGTACCATCAAAAAGTATTTGGAATCAAATATAAATTTGATTTATATTTATTAAAAATAAATCTAGTATAAATTTATGGACAGAGGGAGATTCAATGATCAAAACAGAAAATAAGTGCTTACAGCAGGCTAGTTAATGTTAGGTGAGGGAGACATGGTAACCAAAAGAAGACCCATTCCTGACAGAAGTTAAACTAGCCAGGAAAAACAAGTAACTAAAGCAGTTTCAATGAAACAAATGACTAGTGCCATGAGAGTTGGGAGAAGGACATAATATAGTCTTAAAAATCAGAGAAGGCCTTGGGGCACCTGGCTGGCTCAGTCCTAGAGCATGCAACTCTTGATCTCAGGGTCATGAATTCAAGCCCCACACTGGGCGTGGCTCTACTTAAAAAAAAAAAAAAAAAAAAATCAGGGAAGGCCTCCTATGAAAAGATCAGCCAAGGATATAGCAACATTTGAGAAATAACATGACACAGCTGAGGAATTGCAAAAACTACAGTATACCTGACACAGAGAAGCAAGATATGAAACTCAGAGATTATCGAAGACCAGGGAAGCCACACTAAGGAACCGGACTTTATCTCAAAATGTAATAGTCACTGAAGCTGACTTATTTGAAAGAGCACAGATGTACTTCTACAAAAGTCTCTATCAGCCTACTTCACCCATTATTGTAAAGGTGATCAAAAAAAGGGGAGGCGTGAAGAAATAACCAAAAGGGAGAGAACAGCGTATCAGAGGCTTTAAAATATACTCAGACACCTTGGGTTAGAGCTACAATGCCTGTAACATAGATGCTCAGTCACATGCATCCATATGGACTGCACGCAAAATGGAATTATGGAGATGAGGAAGAATCAAGAACTCAAACGAACTTAGATTACTGTCTTAACTGAGAAGTCTTAGCAAGAACTGGATTTTTGTAAAATGAAAGACACAGCTCTTACTGTGTTTTGTCTATTATTTTTAAACAGGGTTGGTTGGCTGTTTTTTGTTTTTAACTGGGTTCAATTTAAAAGACACTATTCACCTTGTTATACATATATCTAAGCATGAAGTCCAGTAGAAATGATTTCCCTTTACGAAAAGCTCCTGCCACGGATACCACTACTATGTTAAGATCTCGTATGTGTTCCTGTAGCAATATCTGCTCCAAAGCTTCTTCATCGAGCTCAAAGTTATGGTCATCTTCATGAGCAAGAACAATCTGTACTGGACATGGTTTCTTCATAACCTCATCAGAGTTTACTAGGTCATCATCTTCATGATTCTCACCTAAAATTAAAAAAAAGAGAAAAAGGTTACTTGAATTCCTGCATTACAAACTTCTCCTAAGGGATCACAACTAAAGCAAAATTTCAAGTAACTTCCCCTTTGTTACAGATCATCTGCAAAAAGTGATATTCAAGTACATATTGGATTTCTCACTCCCTCTATAGTAGGACCAAGAATATTGGTAAGATTTCCCACTATACACACAGATAAGCACAATACTAAGTATAGCCTCTACTATTAAGTCTAAACAGCTAATTGTGAACAGTAGCTGTTTCTTGAGCACTGCATTATTCTATAAACAATTTCTGCTACTGTATACACACTGAAACCGGATCTATGCGAGGGGAGGATGGGGGGGGGGGTCAATTTTACCTAATAATTCAAATTCCAATTTTCCTGGTAGGCATTTCCTGGATATTATTCCAAGTTACAAAGATTAAAACATATGAATTGTAAACATTTTTCACTATGAAACTTAAATGGCTACGCTAGGGTCCTAAGAAGTTTCTAAAACTGACACTAGTGGTAAAGTTAATGAGTCCCTAATTTAGTAAGAGTAACCTAATAGTACAGCTTCCTTTATTAAAGCAAAGCACAGGATTGATGTTCTGTTGGAAAACACAAAATGAATAGTCAGTGAGGTACAGAGTTATATCCTATAGTTTCATCTGCCTCTGGGCTCTTACAGACCATAACCACCATTTCAAATTACCTAACTCCCCAAAACAGGTATATCAACTCTTCCTTTGTTCACCCAGCACACCAAAACAAAGTAATCTTTGCAGAACTTTACTGAATAGTAATGAAGAAATAACAATAAAACACATAACAGCAGGAGATGCCTGTGTCACACTGACAGCACAGAGCCTGCCTGGGATTCTCTCCCTCCCTCCCTCCCCCTAAACCTCTCCTGAGCACACACATGGTCGTTTGTTCTCTCTCTCTCTCTCTCTCTCTCTCTCTCTCTCTCTCTCTCTCAAAATAAATAAACACTTAAAAAAAGATATGCAACAGCAGAGACAAGTTTCTAAAGTTTAGGTTTCTGTCCTTTTAATAAAACAAAACAAACAAAAACACCTAATAGCTAATTTCAGAGACTTCTATCCCTTGTCAGGCTTTCTTCCCTATCAATTGCTTGATCCCATGTAGCCAAATCACTGGTAGGGACCTTATCCTCCCCCACCCCAACATTTTTAAGAGACTCTCCCCTTGAGTCTGTCTACTAAATGACCCTTTGCAATCTAAGGAGACATACAGTATCTACTGTGTTCAGTGCAATGACAGTCCCTTCTCTCCCAGGAGACAGCCAGTCCACTGAGGAGTGGCATATTAGTAGCCAACACGGCAAGAACCTTATCCAACTAACCACTATTCTTAAAGATTATACATCTACATTCATGGCTCTTTTTTTCCCCTAGAAAGAAATATCTAGCTTGTTTGATTTGCAAAAACTATGAGAGCCTTTTCTTCCATCACAAGGCACCTTTAACTGAACATAGCAAAAGCAGGAACACTATTTCAAAATGTGCTACAAACAGTGACAATATAAAGAGCAAGCAATTTCAAAGGAGAATCATTGGAAGTAAAAGCAATCAATATTTAATTAAAGATGATATTGTCACTTCCAGTTTCAATGGTATACAAATACAGAATGGTACCTAACTGGTCTCCCTTTTTGCTCCCTCCTTTAAACCAATCTAGGGGCGCCTGGGCGGCTCAGTCGGTTAAGCGGCCGACTTCGGCTCAGGTCATGATCTCGCGGTCCATGAGTTCGAGCCCCGTGTCGGGCTCTGTGCTGACAGCTCAGAGCCTGGAGCCTGTTTCAGATTCTGTGTCTCCCTCTCTCTGACCCTCCCCCATTCATGCTCTGTCTCTGTTCTCAAAAATAAATAAAACGTTAAAAAAAAATTTTAAACCAATCTAAATTCCACAGAGTAGTAACAAAATAATATAGATAAATGTGACTGTTATTAAATTACTCTCCTTGAAATCACTGTTACAGAGCATTAACAACTAAAATCCTACACATACCTTATAAAATCCTGTACTCACTGCCAAATCTCTCCTGCCCCAAATACATTTGGTGCTACTCTTGCCTGTGTAAACTACGAATAGACAAGCTAGCCTTTTTTCGGATTCTTATGCTACTAAAGCTCTTTCTAGACTCATATTTCACTGAGGATATTCCTTTGTCTGGAATATTCTTTCCATGTTGTTGCCCTAATCAACTCATGCTTATTCCTTAAGCCTCCGTTTAAACATCATTTCCTAAACGTCATTTCCTCAGGAATATCTTTCCTAAGGTTCCTAATCAAGTTTAGTCCTCCTATACTCCCCTAATCTGAATCTACCCATCATTTGAATATTTATGTAAATGCTTATTTATTATAGGTCTCCCCCTCTAGACTGCCAATCCTCTGTTTAAAACCCTCAATTAGCTTCCCACTGTAACCAGAAAATATACAGAAAAAAACAAAACTCTGAAGGTCCTGACCATGACCTCCACAGTCCTATGTGATCTGGCCCTCACAATCGCAATCGGGACCTCTTTCTGTTCCTTGAACAGGTCAAACCTGTTTCCCACCTTAGAATCTTTGTCCTGTGTTCTCCCCTGTCTGGAATGTTCTGTCCCTAGAAACTCATGTGGCTTTATCTTCCATCATCTAGGTCTCAGCTCAAATGTTCTCGTAAGTGTGGCCTTCCTTGACCATTCAGTCTACACACCCTTCCACATCACTTTAACAAAACAGGTTTTGTGGTTTTTTTTTTCCATAGTCCTTTTCAATATCTAAAATAACCCTTTTTCATTTGTTTACATTTCTGCCTTGTATCTCTCCCTCCATAGAAAGTATATACCACAAAAATAAGAATCTCAATCATCCTGTTGGTCACTCTATCTCCCAGCACCCCGAATAGTGCTTGGCACCTAGCAGGTGCTTAATAAATATTTCTTGAATGAAAGAAATTTACACATTTTACTCAGGAGTTTTATACCCACCTGCCCCTAGGTATTTTACAAGCAAATCTGACAATCACATAACTAGTTTGGGAAAATACTTCCAGCAACTCAAGAGTAGTATATTTATCACAAAATTACAGTGAGAAGTATGAAGTTCTACCAATACACTAATTAAAAAAAACCCAAAATGAGTAAGTGCTAAAATATCACAATGACCAAATTTGGAGATTGCTGATTTTGTTAAAACCAACAAACAGTCTTGTTCTTACTGTAAAGAAAGCATTAGTTTCTTAAAAATAAAACAAACAAGGGCCCTTGGGTGGCTCACTTGGTTAAGCATCCAACTCTTGATTTCAGCTCAGGTCATCTCATGATTCGTGAGATCAAGGCCCACATTGGGCTCTGCACTGACAACACAGAGCCTGCTTGAGATTCTCATTCTCTGTCTGTCTCTCTGTCTCTCCCTCTCCCTCCCTCCCTCTCTCCCTCTCCTCCCTCTGACCCTTCCCCACTCACTGCATTCTGCTTCTCTGTCAAAATAAACATTAAAAAATAAAGAAAAACAAACCACTTGTTTTTAACAAGTTATTAACTTGAAATTTCACCTAGATTGGTTGACTACAGTTACCATGTAGCCAATTTTCTTTTATTAGCGTGGATAAAGATAGGTACCTCAGATATACAGGCAGCAGGTGTCTACGTTTTTGTCACCATTTCTAGGCTACAGACTTCTAAAGTGAAGTGCAGCAAACATGTTTCAAAAGCATGATGGAGCACAATGACACGGTTCACTAAGTTTACTCCCCCACCATGATTTCTCTACCATTTTTGTACTAACTACAGACACAGTACTTCATTCATCAAACACTGATATAAGCAACTAAATACAAGAATTGTACATTTCAGGGTGCCTGGGTGGCTCAGTCGGTTGGGCGGCCGACTTCGGCTCAGGTCATGATCTCGTGGTCCGTGAGTTTGAGCCCCGCATCGGGCTCTGTGCTGACAGCTCGGAGACTGGAGCCTGTTTCAGATTCTGTGTCTCCCTCTCTCTGACCCTCCCCCGTTCATGCTGTGTCTCTCTGTGTCTCAAAAATAAACGTTAAAAAGAAAAAAATTAAAAAAAAAAAAGAATTGTACATTTCATCAGACTACCTGTAAACATTAACATTCAGTGATTACCTACAACTGGAAATCTTTTTAAATTTAGCATTGCTCTAAGATTTTAAATTGAAGTTAAATGCTAGGCAGAGAATAGTGATTTTATTTCCATTTTTCAATGCCAAAAAATGACTGAAGTAGACTTCGACCATCCAATAAATTTTCCTGATTCACTGTTTCAAGTCAGTTCTCCCCCACTCTACCGCCTAATGCATCTTTCAAGGTCAAAGCTGAAAGATACCTACAGCAGATCAACTGTTCCTCAGCTATTTCCCCATACTTAACACTAAGTATACTTAACCTATTTGCCACAAGGCCTACAAAAAGACACTTGTCTAAGTGAAAAAAAGATCAGTGGTTGCTAGGGGTTGGGGGGGAGGAGACACGACCAGGTGGAGCACAAGGATTTTGACGGCAGTTAAACTATTCTCCCTGATGCTACAGAGATAGACGCAAGGCATCATACATATGTCAAAACCTACAGAATATACAACCCCATAAATGAAGCCTAATGAAAACTGTGGACTTTGGGGAATAATGATGTGTCAGTGAAGATTCATCAGTTGTAACAAAGGTGCCACTCTGGTGTGGAGCAGGGCAGCTGTTGGTTGGTGTGTGGGGACAGGGGGTGATATGCACTCTGTATTTTCCACTCAATTTTGCTATGAATTGCTCTAAAAAAAGAAGTCTATATATAAAAAAAGACATTTGTCTTTTTGATTGCTCTTTAAACACACTGATCTTAAATCTGCCAAATTCATACAGTCAGTATACATTCCAACAGCAAAATTTACACTTCAGAACTGACCTAGATCCGTCTGCAAACTTCAGGCATAATTACACACTAAGGCAATATAAAAATGCTAGAAATCTGCATTACAAT